ACTGCCGGTGAAACTCATCCCATGACGTAAGCGCTGATTCGTGGTTCTCAAACCATGTTTTCGCGGAGTCCTCCAGGAAGCAGTACACATAGCGTAGCTTACGCTCTGCGGTCCAATCGCTGATGATGGCGACCCGGTCGAAATGCTCGAGCCAGTCGTCGGCATCTTCAAAAGCAGCTCCATGAAATGTCTTCGGCGTCTTGGGCTGGTTGATAACCAGGTGCGCTGGTGCTGGCGCTGTGACGTTAGGCGGTGTTTGGTTCATAGTCCTCTGACGTTCAGGCAGCTAACCGTGCTGTGGCTCGAGTCCCTGGAGACGACGGCCGGAACGTACGTGCACAGAGGTAAGCTCGGCTGAGCTACTCGATGAACTTGCGTCAGGGGTGCTCTCAGGGCACCGTATCATCTACCGTACCCCGCACTTCCACCAGAAAATGTCGCAAAGACACAGGTACGCAGGTACAAAATAGGGCGTTTACTTTTGTAACCCAAGGGCCAGAAACGCGAACACCAGAGCACACGCACACAGAACTACTTCGTTGTCCTCCACAGAGGCTGGCTACTATAGTTGCCAGCCTACCTTGCGTCTATATATATATATATATATATATATATAAAATAAGGAAAAGAAGTGTATACCTAAGGGCTCTTTTTTGCGTGTTTTAACACAATATTAATGAGATCTAACAGACAGTAATGCCAAGGAATGAGCAGGGGAAGTTATTAGAACCAATGAAATGTAAATAAGAAGAAAGAAAAGTGGATGAAAAAATAACCAGCCGTGAGCAGGAATCAAACCTACAACCTTCGAATAACGCGTTCGATGCTCTAACCACTGAGCTACCACAGCGGCCTTCCCTCCATCCACTTTTTTGGGTTTATAGGTGAATTTAGAAGTAGGAGTGACAGTCAGCGCCATCTATAAGCCAAGCAACAAGTGTGAAAACACTCTTTAATGCGCATGTTTGGCGTCACGTAGCACGTGAGTTTATTATGAGCGGGCAGCTGATCAATAGTCCCTCGTATACAACCTAAACACACCAAGTCTGCCAGTACGAGACCCTCGTTCAATGAAATAAGGGAAAGAAGTGTATACCTAAGGGCTCGTTTTTCCATGTTTTAACACAATATCAATGAGATCTAACAGACAGTAATGCCAAGGAATGTACAGGGGAAGTTATTAGAACCAATGGAATGTAAATAAGAAGAAAGAAAAGTGGGTGAAAAAATAACCAGCCGTGAGCAGGAATCGAACCTACGACCTTCGAATAATGCGTTCGATGCTCTAACCACTGAGCTACCACAGCGGCCTTCCCTCCATCCAGTTTTTTGGGTTTATATGTGAATTTAGAAGTAAGAGCGACAGTCAGCGCCATCTATAAGCCAAGCGACGAGTGTATATATACATATATATATATATATATATATATATATGTATGGCGCTGACTGTCGCTCCTACTTCTAAAAATTCACAGATAAACCCAAAAAAGTGGATGGAGGGAGTGCCGCTGTAATAGCTCAGTGGTTAGAGCATCGAACGCGTAATTCGAAGGTCGTAGGTTCGATTCCTGCTTACAGTTGGTAATTTTTTCATCCACTTTTCTTCTTCTTATTTACATTCCATTAATGTAATAACTTCCCTGTACATTCCTGGCATTACTGTCTGTTATATCTCATTATATATATATATATATATATATATTATATATAGATATATATATATATATTATATATATAATATATATATAATTTCATTGCTAGGAGGTGTTGGTGAATATATCGTGTTATGACATAATGATCATGCATATGATGCAAAGTGCAGCAGGTTGTAAGACCACGTTTAGTATCGAATTGAAATGTCCTGTGTGCCCACCCCATCTTGTTTGGTTATTGCCCCTTTTTGTTAATGTGCGTTAAATGTGCAGAACTTTAACAAATTTGAGAATCTGTGTGCCTTGTTCATAGACAGCATGCAAAATGCTGGAAAACCTGACAGAAACATGCAAGCACAATGCTGTCAAGTTGCACACAGCAAAAGCATGTAAATAAATATTGTTGCAAAAAGATTAACATACGAAAAGGAAAGCTCATCAGTGACTGCATTGGCACAAGCTCTGAAATCAAACTATCGTATTGAGGTGGAGTGTCCACATATATTATTCCAACTTGATTTTGCCAGTTCTTTTAACTTATGCCCAAGGAAGAAGCAAGATACATTGTGCATAGCATAAATTGAACATCCTGCGTTTTCACTTCACCCCAACATGCTGTGGGTGGCTGAAGCAAATCGTTTTGGTGAAGGCACTATAATGTACGGCAGGTTTTATGACATGCGGTGTTCCCTGAACAGCATCAAGTGTATAATTCTTGTTCACTTAAAATCAATACAATCAACAACAAATTAAATTTGCATTTTGTGCCAAATATTTCTCATTTTAGGCAAAAATAGAACATGACTAGTTGCACAATTAATAGGTGTACGAATACACGCTAACAATTACTAACACCCACACATAACAATTACCTTGTTTTTTTTTTCTTGAATTATAATATTGGGTGTCTTGGAATAAGTGTGTGTAAACTAGATACACTTGCAGACAGTCCATCGTTATTTGCCACTGAAGGGGATATGATAGCTTGCGCTGTTTCTCTTGCAAACCACCATTGCAAAAAAGATGCCAAGTTAAACTACTTTTACCATTTTCAACTCCTTGCTGTTTGTGTGTACAGTGATCTTTTTCTGTGTCAAACATTCAAGAATTCAGTACAAACTTGATAGTGTATGATTATATAAGAGTGTATGATTATACAGTTAATTCAACAGCTTATAACTAGGAGCTCCGTGTTTTCAGAGTTCATTTTTCTTGAAATTCGAAGCGTGTTTTTCGGAGTTTATTTTTTAGAGTAAATTAGGCATTTAATATTGCATTAATAGTAGTTTCAATGTGTTCTTAACATTATTTACAATGAAACCACATTCCATTGTTGCTGACGACCCAGTTTCTTGACCCTTTATTCTCTTTTTCACTCCCTGTTTGTTAACTTTGGTAATAAGGCAGTTGATGTGCGCTGCAGTAAACATGCCACAGTGTACTTTGGGGAGAGGGCAGGAGCTAGGCAAGCTGCTTCTCTGCTTTTTCACCCAGCCTCTCATCTCATTAAAAGGATAATGAATAAAACTCTAGCTGCCAAGATTTCCAGCCAAATTGAAAGATTGGGTGATGAAATCAACAGACAAAACCTTCATTTCAGGCAGAAACCAGACGAAAATAATGACAGCTGCAGACCAGGACATTTCCAAACCCGGTGATCTTGAATCTCTGTTACCCAGAGTTTATGCGTCATGCTGCAAGTTTTTCGAGGCCAGGACAAGCCTGGAACACATGCTATGGGAGTGTGGCAGAGGTGGGGCTCAAGACAGGAACGCAGCCTTGAATCGAATGTGCTGGGAGAATGCACTGCTCAGTCAAGCCCTCGAAGACCAACTGTGGGCCGTCCAGCTGGCCGAGGTCGCCGTCAGAGCTCAAGGGCTCGTGGCCGATACCTAAGCAGGGATATCTGCCTAGGTCCCCGAATAACTCACCGGATGTTTTTTCTTTCTGTTTTGAACAAAGTTGCGTCTCTCTCTCTAGTGGGTTTTTCACAAACTGCCGCGTTGAGCAGCAGTGTCGTGTACTACAAGAAATGATGCTACACTTGCCAAAAACGGGCATCCCAACAATGCCAGCTGTCGCCCACGTCTCTCAACCAACTCAGCTTCCCAGAACCACTGTGTCAGCGAACGATGCTCTCAGCTGGGGTAAAGAACTGGCACATTTGTGAAAGGGGGAGCGAGGAATGAAAGGAGAGTTGAGGAAAAGAAAGAGGAGAACAGGAGAAGCCCATAATCGTTGGACAGGGCATGTGCACCCTACATGCGCTAAAGAAATCAGTTCTGTTCTAGCCTTGAGGAAGACAAGTTTCGCTTGTCAAAACATCGGCTCGACATCAATCCCTGTTTGCGGATTTTTTCATAACAGATAATGGTCATATAACATATAATAGTCATCTCCAGTAATAGTTTCTTATTGGTAACTCGATCGTTAAACAAAAACCAGGAAAACCACAAATATAAAATAATGATTTGTGTTTGCAGATAAAGTACTCAAGTACAAACTCAACTGACGCAGAATCACAAGTTGAGCTTGTTGGTGCATGTGTATTACTTGAAGCACAACAGAAAAAATGATAGAGTAGTGTCTGTTTTCCCAGTGGCTTTCTCTTATCATGTCTGACTTTATACTGTGTCACACTGAAAATTATTTCGCAGCATACAAACAACAATAATGACTCCACAGAATTATTGAGATATTCACATATATAATTTGAACATACACAAGTACACTCAACAACAACAAAAAATGACTAGAAAAAGCGATCATCAGTGACAATATACAAAAGCCTACGGCACAGTCACACACACAAAAAATTGAACAATAACTTCGGTAGTTTTCCAATACTGCCACACAACATTAGAAGAGCTAAGTGTACAATGCATGCTACATTCAAGTACATACAATAACTCATTCTAACATTATGCCCCCATTTCCACAAAATTATTGTGATACAGATCAATTTACGAGCACATCAACCATGAAATAGCATTGCAATCATAAATTTATTTTCCAGACTGGCTGCAGCAAATTTCTATTTTTGAGCAAGTAAATTAATGCCTTAAAGTTGAATGACATTACAAAATTAAGTTTTCAATAAATTCCTATTGATATATGGCAGTCAGTTGCATCACTGCCATCGCGGCAAAAACACTTTGTTAGACACCATGCGCTAATTGGTTTTTCATCAGCGTGCCTGCGTTACAGACATCGGTGGTCCAAGTTGTAATATTTGCAAGCGAATAAACAAAGAAGTCGACTTTCCGGAAAGCAATTCTGATGAACGCAAGCATCGCGCTCGCTGCACAAAATGTAATCGCCAGTAAAGTGAAAACAACAATTATTTACCTGGAGAAGGGCTACTTCCTGTTCGCAGTCACGCCTGGCCTTTTCGTCAAGCATTTCTTTCGCCTGGAAATCAGAGAAGTGGGACTTTTACGGAAGGTGTTTGTACTGTATACATTCATACAAAGCATCGGGCAAATCGCAACAGTCGACATTTGGCAGCACATGTATAATACTACACAGCGCGATCGCTGATATCCAACCAGGAAGGAATCGAGGCATGCTGAAAGACATCACGCGAGTCTCATCAGATGAAACAGCCAAAAGCTTAGTTCGTTGACGAGACGTCGTGCCTTGATCCATTCCTGGCTGAGCAAAGCTTTTCACCACGTAGTGACAGGCAACAAGTGTCATAACTGATCGCGTGAAGTACGCACCTTAACTTTTTTGATAGCCACCAGTGTGCCGTCTACAGTACTTCGAGCCTTGTGCACAACGCTGAAGCTGCCCCGGCCTATTTCGCCGAGAAGCTCGAACTTTGCCAGGCTACTTGTACCAATGCGCTTTAAATCGGCGCCCGAAAGCTGCCATCCGAGCGCGCCTGCTGCCTGTGCCATGTTCGAAACGGCTTAGCAACCGGCGCGAAGCTGCGATGAAGACCTTGGAAGTGGTGCACGTAGTGATCACAGGCAAAGCTGTTACCGATTCCTCGTATACACCACCCCGAACAACGTCTTGACTGCCGCGTTCAGCTGTGATAGAACTATACACTTATTGCTACTTTCACATGCGCGGTGCTGCCATGGCCTGCTGCTGCCTCTTTTCCCTCCCCAAGAAGAAAAACAAATCTACTTCCGAGTCCCTGCATTGGCTGAGTGGATGGTCACGTGCTGCAGACGGGCGCAGACGGCCGCTCTCCGTGGCGCGTGAACGGACCACGACCTACTGTACACCTGACCTGCCCAGCTGGCCGCGGTCTACGAAGCTGCCTGCGCCGGCTCGGATTCCGTACTTCGCCGCCTAGGGACGCTCAAGTTACCCCAGCTGGAAAAGGGCTGAGAAAAGGGTTCCTAATAGTACATCAACAGGCTCAGATGGCATTCCTATTATGCTGATAAAGACATTAGGTCCGAAGTCCAAGCAGGCTTTGAGAGAGGCAGTGAGCAAAATAATTAGCGATGGAGAAGTTCCCGATGGATGGAAACTTAGCAGGATGAGCATGATCTATAAAGGAAAGGGGGACAAAGCTGACATAAACAACTACCGTCCTATAACAGTGACATCAGTGGTCTACAGGCTGGCGATGCAGATTATAAAGGAAAGACTGCAGGCATGGATAGAGGATGAGGGGGTGCTAGGGGAACTGCAGAATGGGTTTCGGAAACACAGGAGATTGGAAGACAATCTGTTCTCACTGACGCAGTGCATCAGAATAGCAGAAAAGGAACACAGGCCCCTGTGGCTAGCATTTTTGGATATCAAGGGGGCGTACGATAGCATGAATCAAGAGGAATTGTGGGGAATACTGCATGCACTAGGCGTGGAACATGTAGTCACAAATCTTTTAAAGGATATCTATAAAGGTAACTACCAGTTATAAAGTGGGGAAAACAGGTATCCAAGCCTGCAAAAGTAAAACGGGGGCTTAGGCCGGGGTGTCCCCTGTCACCCTTATTATTCATGATCGATGTACCTACAAGGATTAGAGGCCAAATTAGAGGGAAGTGGACTGTGGGCTTCAACCTCTCTTTAGTAAAACAAGGAAAACTCATTGAACAGGCACTATCAGCATTGATGTACGCAGATGATATAGTGCTAATGGCCGACAACAAGGAAGATTTGCAGAGATTGGTGGACATCTGCGGTAATGAGGGAGATGTGTTAGATTTCAGATTCAGTCAGGAAAAATCAGCAGTCAGGATTTTTAATGACAATGAAGGTAGTGAGCTTAGAATACAGGAGGTCACGCTAGAGATAACAGATAAATACAAATATCTGGGCGTATGGTTAAGCAATGGGGCCGAGTACCTAAGGGAACGCGAAATTTACGTGACGACTAAAGGTAACAGGAATACAGCGGTGATGAAAAACAGGGCACTGTGGAATTACAACGGGTATGATGTTGTGAGAGGAATATGAAAAGGGGTCATGGTTCCTGGTCTGACGTTCGGCAATGCGGTCTTGTGCATGAGATCAGAAGTTCAAGCAAGATTAGAAATTAAGCATTGTGGAATAGGTAGGCTTTCCTTAGGAGCTCACGGAAATACACCAAATCAGGGAGTAAAAGGTGATATGGGATGGACATCATTTGAGGGCAGGGAAGCTAGTAGCAAGATAATATTTGAGAAGCGATTGAGAGAAATGGGGGAGGAGCGTTGGGCTAGGAAGGTATTCAGCTACTTGTACATGAAGAATGTCGATACAAAATGGCGGAAGCGAACCAGAAAGTTGACTGGTAAATACTTGGAAAACAGCAGGGGGCCAAACCAAAAAGAATTATCGGTGAAGAAGAAGGTGAAGGAAGCCGAGACCGATATGTGGAGAATTGGCATGATTAAGAAGTCCGCCCTAGAGATCTATCGAAGTTTTAAGCAGGAAATTGCCAAGGAAAGGATCTATGATAATACTCGGGGTAGTTCTCTACTGTTTGAGGCCAAGACGGGAGTATTGCGAACCAAGACATATCGGGCCAAATACGAAGGGGTAGACACGGTATGCAGTGCGTGTGGAGAGGAAGAAGAAACTGCGGAACACTTGATAATGTTCTGTAAAGGGCTTCACCCTATAGTTCAGGATGATGGCGCAGAGTTTTTCAAAGCACTGGGGTTTAGGGACAGTGAGGGCAAAATAGACTTTAAGCGGGTAGAATTAACTGGAAGGAGGTTATCTGATTGGTGGCTAAAGTCAAGGCACGAGTGAAAATTAAACCCTTCACTGCAAAGTAAGCATCCTCAACCTCACTATTTAAGGGGAAAAAAATAAATCTAGTTTTTGATTCATTAACTATTACGGCTTAGTGACGCTAGCCACCGGCCAATCTAAATGGTACAACCATATACATCCATGCATTCATCCATGAGCGCCAGTGAATGCATGGGTTGCCGCCGGTTAGAGAAGAGTTGCATCACGCATGAAGTAAATGTGACGGCTATCTTGAATCATTAATATTTCATGTGACTTTGAGAATCTTCTTTTGCATTTTAGTTGACATTTCAGTGCATTATTTTTCAAATAGAATCGCAAATCAGGTACAAACACATGTATCAGCGTGCAAAACAATAAAGAATGACGACGTAGGCAGGTTGTAAAAAGCGCTGGCCACGAAATGTTTACTTAACTCATGATACCAGCTATATGTGTATACAATGGTAGACTTGTTGCCGTTGGATTACACTCAGCTTGCTTGCGTTTACTGTCTGGGCAAGAAAGGGCAAGGACTATGACACTTGACAGTGTCCGCGGCATCCGGCGCGCATAGAAAGCAACACAATACAGATAATTTTGCGCATAAGTACCTTCGTCTCAAATGGCAAATGTAGATCGCAGGTACATGAATAATCAATTAAAGACACTCTGCAATTGTTTTGAAACGAAACAGCACTTAAAATAACTTATTCAACGTTGATTCTTCACACAATGGGTGTGTTTCAAAACCTAGTTGCATAGCCACATGTAGAGACATGGTTTTCATATGTGCACTCATGTCATTTTTTTTTGTAATAAACAGTTGTGAGTATAGCGCGTCGTCGTTTACTTTCTTGAGGTGGTCAGTTTATTATTTTTTTTGCGCTAATATGCGTTTCAGTCTGTCATGCACCACCAACCAGCCCAGCAACTCACTCTTTTAGAGACACGTAGTCCTTTACAACACAGAAATCACCTTGATCCATTTTTCATGGACCTTGGTCACTCGAAACTCATGAAAAGTCACATCAGGAGTCTTCCCTTGCCTTGATTCGCCGAAAGGCACGCAGCACACCACCATCGTGATGGTTCATCTGCACCAAGAAACCTCGCTTCGCTGGTGTACAAACTGCACCTACCTGCACGCTTCTATCGCATGACGATAGTTATAGCGCGAGAACAAAACTACGACACAGAGACAAGAAGGACACGAAAGACACAAGCGCTAACTTCCAACTGAGTTTATTGCGCAGAGCACGAAAATATATAGAGGAGACAGTAACTATGCGATAAAAACCATATGGCACAAAGAGCAGAACATGAGTAAGAAAAAACAAAACAAACAACACAAAAACAAAAGCACTGAAAAACAGCAAAGAAAAATCTAGAAGAAAACGAAACAGAAAGGTAAAGATAATATAACTACCTGCCAGCACCGAAACCTTCGAGAAACCTGCATTCCTTATCGGACAAAGCCACGCAGGGCTTGCTAATACAAGGCACCTGTTCGCGTGCCATCTGCGCGGCCTCGACAATGACTCGGGTGCTTTCATCTCTGTGCTTGTACAGCGTCGCTGTGTCCTTGAAGAGGGGAACACAACTGCACTCAGAGCAGTGCTGAGCAAGAAAACCATCTTTCCGGTTTCTAACATTGTTAGCGTGTTCTCTCAGCCGATCTTTCAGACACCTTCTGGTCGTTCCGACATAACAAGCACCGCATGAAAGAGGGGTCCTATAACAACTTCCCGGGAGCAGGCCGCATACCTGTTTCTATGTTGAACTCTGCATTCCGTTGATGACTGCGTTTTCAGGGGGTTAGTATATTTGGTGAGGCTGATTAATTTGAACGGTGCCGAGAACAGGAGACGAACTCTAACACGTTTTCCGATTTTCTTGAGCCTGTGTGATATCTGGTGTATGTATGGAATCACGGCTAACGCAGGTTCCTCGAAAGTTTCGGTGCGGGCAGTTATATTGTCTTTACCTTTCCGTTTCGTCTTCTTCTAGATTTTTCTTTGCTGTTTTTCACTGCTTTTGCTTTTGTGTTGTTTGTTTTGTTTTTTCTTACTCATGTTCTGCTCTTTGTGCCATATGGTTTTTATGACATGGTTACTGTCTCCTCTATATATTTTCGTGATCTGCGCAATAAACTCAGTTGGAAGTTAGCGCTCCTGTCTTTCGTGTCCTTCTTGTCTCTGTGTCGTCGTTTTGTTCTCGCGCTATAACTATCGTCATGCCATACCAACTAGCCCAAGCTGCCACGCTTCTATCGCAGCTCGGCACGAGGAGACGGTGGCAAAAGATCGTCGATCGTCGTTATACTTTAGTTTTTTCAAAAAGAGGCTTTTATTCATTTTTTTTTTCAATCGTCCAGAGTGTATGCACGCGTAAACATTGCTGCTTTTCTCCCAGTGTCGCGCGGGCAGACTAAAAAAAAAAAAAAAAAAAGCGCGGCGACCCATGTTTTGGCCGTCAGCAACCAGTGCGGATGAGGTAAGTTGCAGCGCCACAGGGCGCATAGCGGCAGGCACTAATGCCAGAAAGGGCGTGCTGGTGCTTCGCTCGCTGGGCAGGTCAGTAAAATACAGAAGGTCGTGGTGCGGACAGCCAACGGGGCAGCTGTACTAGTTCGTAGCCTGCTCGCACAATAGTTTATTTCAAGGTAATTGTCACGCCTAGTTGTCTTGATGTCTAAAATTTCATGCCGTGCATTGCGCAGTCATTCACGTTTCATTGATCAATCGTATCAGGTGACCTGGCGTGTGGATGAGAACTGAAGTGACAATTTATTTGAGTGAACACGCCGACTCGATCGCCAATATATATATATATATATATATATATATATATATATATATATATATATATATATATATATATATATATATATATATATATATATATATATATATATATATAT